ATGCAGCGGTGTGGCAGAAAGGAAGGCTCTGCCCTGCTTTGCAGGGTGCACCGTGAGCAGAATTTCAAGCTATGCCCTGGCTGCAAGGTCTGTGGGGTCGGGAGCTGCCTGTGATGGAGCGAGCAACCCCTGAAAACAGCGTCAGCTAGGCAGGGGTCAAACTTTTACTGGGACCCACTGGGACACACACCCACTCTGGGTGTCAAGGGGAAGCTGTCAGGCAGTCTTTCCTGCGGGCAAAGAAAAAGGTTCACCCTTAGCAAAGCGAAGCCAGCAGGCAGCTGTTTGGGCACGGTCTTGGTCAAGGTTTTGCCTCGGCAATGAAAGAAGGGCAGGAAACAACTGGCAGAGCCCCGGAGGTGCTGACTCAGCACCCAGGAATCCACCGCTCCCTGACTCACGGCCCTGCCTTTCCCAAATAAATGGAAAAAGGCTGAGAGCCACTTTCCACCGCTGCAGACTGCCAGGGTTTTGGTTCAGGATTTGCACTGAACCAGCATCCACCCCGGGCTGAGTCTAACTGCATGAATAAAGAAATTTTAATCAGCATACTTGCAGCTGTCAGCGGTGGCTGATCTTTCCTGCCTTCCTTTTGATCCAGCTGCCTTTTTTCCCTTTCTCTCACTCCACCAAGGCATTTGTGGGAGTCTGAAGCGCACGCTAATTCAAATAAGGAGCTCTCCCTAATTGCATGTTGAGAACTGATAATCAATGTCATCTTTAATTTTTCTTACGTGGTTATCCCCTTTAATGGAGTGTGCTGCAGTAACTGAGAATAAATCTGCTTTGGGTTAAGCTAGAGATTGTTATTTATTTTTCTTTCAGATCAGAGATTAATATTGCTGTATGACCATTGGCACTAACCTCTTTTTCCATAGCAACACCAAAGAGAACATAAACTATGACTCATAATTTCTCTCTGGAGGACTTTTTTGTAATTATGATCATTCCACAGTTCCTAAAATACGTTAGCTGATATATAGCTCCAGTATAACAGCTTTGATTTTCCTTCATTTGAACACCCAGGCAGAAAGAAGAGACTTCCATTATTTTCTCTCTCTGAGTCTGAGCTGAACACTACACAAAGTATCATATATTCATTACTCACTGTAACTGTGTGGCTCCTAAAAACTCCACAGCAATGTTTTCTTCATAAAGGTGGAACAGGTTTACTCACATTCAATAACCTTAAATAATGCTGACCTTCTAAAAGAAAACTGGTGTCCTTCCCACCATGGTTAGTAAATTGGGGTCTGAGCTGGAATTAATCCAAACTGGGAACTGTGTTGTACTGGGCAGCAAGGTTGCACACTAGCACTGCTCCTCTGCCAGTCAATGGCTTTAAACTCTCCCACATTTCCTCTCCCTCAGAGCACAGCTGCAAAATGCTGTCCGAATTCCATAATAATGGTGATGCTCTTTACTCCCTTCAGTGAAAATCTGGCCTTGGAACAACTTGTCCATACAGCTCCCTGGAATATCTCAGCAGATAATCACATTGGATCATCACAAGAGATTACATGACTTTATGTGTGTGTGTGCCTGTCCTACATTTCCCTCACAACACAGTCTGCTGTGTACTGCTGCAAAGTGCTCAGAAAACCTGTAGTGCCTCTTGCCAGAGAATAACTAGAAAAATGCAATTAGCAAATTCAAGGACGCACACGTTCAGCCAACAGCCATAATCCAAAATGGAGAGACAGAACAAGCTTGCATCTCGCTCTGCTCTGCAGGGTGATCCCCAGCAGCTAAACCAAGCCCAGATTGCTCCAACACAAGGGACACGTGGTTTGCTCTTGGCCTCTCCAGTATGGAGCTGCCCCTACAGGCTCAGGCTCGTGCAGGCACACTGTGAAAGAGCAGAACATGCACCAACATAGCATCAATCACACAACAGGCTTCTCTACTCCTCCCTGAAGGCTTGTGGAAAAACACCCTGAACCTTCAAATTCCTGAACGTAGGGAGCACGAAGTCACTGTAACCCCTGTGCCACTATCTGCAGTGAGGAGACTCTGGCTTTGCCTTCTTTACTCCCTCCCAAGAGGCTTAAGCTGTGTAGAAGTGCAGGTGATGTGAACTGTGACGGATACTGGAAATGTGCAAGACTGTGTTAGGAACAAATAGCACACCAGGGATGACTACACTGCACACCACATACACATACTCATTTAGATCAAGTACCAGGCACAGCTTAACTACAGAAACACAGCACTGTGCAGGAAAATTTATCTTATTCCTCAGCTACTTAGCTCCTGATGTCCTACACTATCCATATTTAAAGGGAGTTTCAGCATCTTTTCAGTAGGCTGCCAGCTACAGTTATATATGCCCTTATTTTACTTGTTCCTTCTGACATGCCTGTAGGCAAACGAGCCCCGTGAGGGTGACAACATGAGCTGCATTAACCAGCTGCCTGGTCCCTGAATCACTGCAGCTCAACACTGCCCTGCCAGAGACACGGAAAAAGGGACACTGAAAACACCTGACTAGTGGTAAACAAATTATGAACACACACGGAAGTTGCCTGTGTTTGCAGAGTCAATTGCCACTTCCACATGGCCACAGTGAAAGCTGATTCCCTTAAATAACCTTTGTTTTTCTGCAAGGTTCACCATTCCACCATTGGCAATAGCTGGAGATCAGCGGTCAGAGAGCAGGTTGTGACTGAAAGCTGAAGGGTGACATGTCATGTAAGACCTGTGTAAATATGTCCTGAGAAAAACTGAAAAGAAGGTTTCTCCTGGCATAAGCTCTTCAGAATACCTGTGTCCTCTGCGTGCCACTGCACAGCCCTTCAAAGGAAAAGCAAGCTGCAGGACATGGAAATACACATCCCTGGGTTAGGCTCAACAGCACAGAGATCTCAGCTGAGAAACAAAATCGTGTCATGCTGTAGCTATTAAACACTATGTATGTCATAGATATGTAATGTATATAACATGCAGCTTCAAGTAAGGTGAGAACCTGGAAAGGTTTTAATGGATTTTGAAGTGGCTGTAAATTCTTTTACCAAAAAGGAAATAGACTTTTAGGATCCTACAAATCTAGTCCTAAAAAACAATGTATTGGGGATATTTTTTAAAAAAAAATTAGTTCTCAGTACTTTTTAATGTACCATAGTTGACATGCAGACAGAGGTGGAGGGAGGCATTAAACAAGAAGTGTGTAGGAGGAGAAAAAAGTAGGAAAATGTGGATAAGGAATGGAACAGTGGGGTGTGCATGAGAGAAGGGAATGTGTGAGGGAAGGAGTCACTAGGAAGGGTGGGGAACTGGAGGAAGGAGCTGAAAGGCTACTGGGAAACACCGGCAGAGTGCCCAGAACAAAGGCTGGGACAGAACCAAGAGGCACCAACAAAAATGGGAAAACGGAAAAACAAGGGTCAATAAGGTCTACAGTTCAAAAATATGGGAACAGGAGTAGAGAATCAGAAATTACTGTGGGACAGCTGCCATGTAAGAGACCGCAACAGTGAGCAAAGAGCTCAATATTTATCATCTGTCTACCTACCAAAATGTATTGCTGAAGCAATGCCCAGGATTAGGTCTAGAAGTGATTTTTACTGTGCAGTGTAGTCAATCATTTTTATTTTGCTTATAGTTTTTGTTTGTTTGTTTTGTATGAGAAAAGCTGGTCCAGAACAGGCAAAAGCAACATCTTACATCAAAGCAGCTCAGCCTGAGCCTGCAGAAACCCATGATGGTGACAGCACCTTGCCAGGTGTGCAGGGCAGACTCACAGATCACGTCTACCATGTCTGCTTGCTTCCAAGGCTTGGGGCAGAGAGGTCAGGGGGAAGAGGAGAGGTGCTGTGAACAGCAGGATGGATTCTCCTCCTGTCCAGACATTTAGGTAATTATTCCCCACTGAGTACAGACCTCCTGCAGACAAGGGGCAGGCAGGATGTGCTGGGAGCACTGAGGAGTGCACATCCAACAGCTGGATTTCACTGGCAGATCACTGAATGCTGTGCTCGGCAGTAACAGAGCCAGCAGGATTTCTTTCTATGGCAAACAGGTTTTGGGGAAAGCAAACCCAGCTCTCCTCCTCCACCGGGCCTCACTCCCTTGCTCTGCCAAGAAGCTGGGCTATATTAAGATATGAGGCAGCCATGCTGGCTGGGCCATTTCTCCTTCATGCTTGGCCTCCCGTGGGAGTTGCTCCATTCTCAAGTATCCGTTGAGAAACATATTCTTGTTCTTTCTGGCTTTCCTCAGTCTCTTTATTTAGTGGTGCCACTTCACACAGTGGAAGCCAGGTTCTGCTGTAACTCCGGAACAGACCTGCCCAAGCCCCCTTCCCACCATTCATTCTTCAAAAAATAAAGCAGCAGCTCTCTCCTGCTCCACCCCTAACATCTCCTAGTTGTTGCCTGTCATTTTATTTACTTTTTCAGAAACTCTCTGTTAGCTACATAACGCTCTCATAAAGTGGAGGGCTGTACTATGAATTCTTGTTAATGACTTACAGGATGCAGGTTAATAGATACAGGGGTTTTCATAACTACCATACTTGGATCATTTCCTGTGCAGAAGACATGGGGAGAAAATGATGGCAAGCTTTAGAAATGACGGAAGGAAAAGAAGGAAAAACCTGGATTAAGGTTCTGATCTTTAAATGGAAAATGTCTCCTCACCTATTTGTTTGCTGCTTTGTTTGTCAGGGCCTGAAAAGAAAGTCTCCTTTTACAGAAGGGAGGAAGGGGAAGGTGCACTGAGAGGTAGAAATGTATCTCATATGTGTGTACATCTATATGCTGCTCACCTTCGTATCCATCCTTGCTATTAAATATAAGGACTAACGTGCTAAACCCTAAAAAGAGAAATATTTGGCATCCAAGGCTCCTTGATTTTGAAGGCATCTGCACACTTATACCTCATTCTATAAACTGATAAAACAAAGTTCCTCCAAAGTTTTCCTCCTGGTATTTTTTACAGTGCCTATGTTATCACAGCATTCAGCATCCAGCCTGAAAACTAAACAATTTCAGACAGTTCCCTTTTGCAAGATGTGACACTAGTCAAAATCTATGCCAGCAGTGGGAGACTACAAAAATCAGTGTTTATAGAAAATCAGGGACAAGAGAACTTGAATTGGTGCTTCTTGATCATACATAACCTACTCAAGCTGCAGCTCTAATAGGGGTAATTTGATATTACTGAGAGTGTTTCACTTTATAACAATTTCACAAAATCACTTTGCAAGTCTTTCACGCACAGTTTTGCGCAATATCGTTCAGGCGGAGGCAATGTTCACACTGAGACAGACACCAGGCTCATTCTGCCCGTGCTTCAAGCCAACTGGAAGACATGGTAAATGTCAGATGTTGCCCCAAGCTGATATGCCACGTCTCTCACTAGGGCACAGCAGTAACTGCATCCATATGGTGCCTGGTCAGCTCAAAATGCAGACAGGGTGAGATCATCCCTGCCCCGACAGTGCTCTCAGGCAATGCAGACAGGGAGGTTTGCCTGCATGGACAATTGCAGGGGATGTTAATCCATTGGTGCTCCATTAATGCCTAATCTACCCCAAGTATTAGACTAAAATAAATGCCTAGACTGTAATTTAAAACAGAACAAAAGTCTGGTGATTGTTTTACCTGTAGCAAGTACTGAAGCCAGAGGTAAAACGTCTAATCAGAACTCAGCTGATTTGCTTGTTGTAGCTGAAAGTGTGGCAAAAATCCTTTTCTGATGCCATCCTAGTGGAGCAACCTGAAAGATTATTTTGGTTCTGTGGCTCCTAACCATCACACTGCAATACAGAGCTTGGTGTCTGCTCTAATTTTCTTTGTATAAGGCTCGATATGAGAGTTAAGGAGGGATCAATTAAACTCTGGAGGGGTTTTCTTCTAGGCTAAATCCTCCAGGGAAGGTCACATGAAATATTGCCTGTGGACTCAGCAGCAAGGCATGTGCCTGCCCCTCCGTGGCACACAGCTCCATCCTCTGGGGCCCTGGGTAAAGCTCAAGTCACTTTTATCACCTCCTGCCATGGCTGTGCATCCACATGAACACAGGGGTCTGAGGTGGAAGAACGGGAAAGATGCTTTTCTGACATTCCCAAGAGCCACAAAATAATTACTTTATATAGGTAATGAAGAGACTTTAGCCAACTCCTGTGTCCCCACAGGGGTTGGAGACAATTTATTCTTGAAGGTCGTGTATTATTATTCAGTGTGTTCTGCCATCTTTCTCCAAATATTATTTTCACACAACAGTGCAGCTGGCCAAAAACTGAAAAAAAAAAAATTAAAAAGCAAAAAAAGCTGAAAAAGTTATTTGTCAGGAAACAAGGTTTCCCCTTCTCCACCTAATGCACTCCAGCAAGTTCCAGCTACATTGCTTCCTCCCAGCCTTTAGAGCTTGACAAAACATGTGGTAAACCTGGCAAGAATCTGAAAACCTCAAATGCTAATGATTATCAGCATTAACAGTTGCTATTGTTCATATCTCAATAGTTAAAGCTTGCCCTTAGCATGAAATGCTATTTTTCCTCATTACTACAGATTTATCTTTGCACAATAATCCTCTTTTTATAGCTTCATGATATTTTCAGGTTTTCCTGTTCAGCTCTGAATGCTACATGAATACTGCCTGGTGAGGAAAGACATACTACATATTATTTTAATACAGTGATCATCTGTTTTTGTTCCTTTCCCCAGTTTCATTGCTGTGACTCTGCCTTCTACGTTCCTTACCTTTTTTTCCCCCCATGCACGTTTCACACTACCATTACCACCAGGATTTACAGTACCAGATTGTTTTTCACAGGCTTCTACAAAGCTGTGTTAAACTTTGCAGCCACCCAGCTGTACTGTTTTGGTTTTTTTTGAGGGGGTGGTGACGGGGAAGGTGGAGTCCTGACATGCATCAGCAATGGCATGCAGGAATCATTTCTTTTACCATCCATTTATTTACCTTTATCCTGACCAGTCAGCAAGAGTCCTCATGTTGCTGCTTGTCTTCCAATCTGTGTCTGTATGGGGGGAATAATTCTGCTTTCAGATGCAGTTTTGGGATGAGTGCACTGAAGCAAGGGGGCTGTGTAAGCTCTGTCTGTGCTGTGTAGCAGAGGAGATGGATGTGAACCACGCTCCACAGCCAGGCTGGGGTTGCAGAGCTCCTCTTTGCAGGAATGCAGAAGTCCTGTATGAGTTTCTTCAAAATACTGTCTCTTCACTACCTTCAGGACCAAAAGCTTGACCTGAAATGTGGTTGATGGATTCAAAGCAACTCCAGAATGCTTTGCATTTGATGAAAACCAAGATCTCCCTCTTTCCTATAACCTCCCCAAATGCTTTAACTACCTAATGCTAAACTAGCTTTAAAGAGAGCGTGCTCTGAACAGAGTGAACACACAACCGCAAGACATTTCTTTGGATTCAAAGTACCCAGATACAGTTCTGAGGAGTATGATACACAATATCTTAATTCTCACTCAAACAGCTCCTGTTTACCTTTATAGAGGACTAACGCAAATATTAGCTTTGGGATTTGATAAGGGACACATTAAACAAACACTGCTGCCTGGATCATAAAAAACTGGCTCTCAGCCAGATAAGTGAAGCTCTGCCTACAAATTAAGTATTACTCTATTCAGGGTGTGCCTGCAGTGGTATATTCTTCCACTGCCTGCATTTTTTTTTCAGCAGTGCATAAGCATAAGCATATCTAATAGAGTAGCTTGCAGGGAGATTTCAATCACCCCCAGCACACAAGAAATGAGACATTTCTGCTGCCAGCTCAGCTGCACACAGTACTCATCTCCCTCCCAAGAACTCTGCTAAGACCTGCGGGTCTGAGGCACTGTTTTGTTGCTCCATTATCATGCAGTCGTGAAGGAAACAACACTTTAATTGTTTTCTATCCGCAAGATAATGAATTACTCCTCTCTCTAAAACAGAGAGGCAGCAAAAGAAGGAACATGAATACTCATTTCCTTTTCCAGTATACAATTACGACTCTTGTCAAAAAATATGACAATTGGAAAAATCAATGTAAAATTTGGTAATAGCTTGGCACTTTCAATATTGCACAAACTCTCACCTAATAATCTCAACTAATAGCCTTACTAAAGCTGATTGGTTCCTTGAAATTAATGGTGATTCCTGTGGGCTCTCTGCAGGAATTAGACAAGCAAAACACCCAATGTCTTACAAACGAATCCTGAAGATGATCTACAGTAATTCCCAGGGAGTTCTTTTGGTTAAAGAAGTAAAAAAGAAAAGCAAAACCAAGCTTAGCCAGCAAAATAAAAGAGAAAAAGGAGGGTAAGAGAAGGTCACACTTAACAGAAAACAATGAAAGTTTCCAGAGGTATTTACCAACTTTATCCTGCACCATGCAAATGTTTAAACACATTCTTACTAGATCTTCCAACACACAGCAAACAGTTTCCCCCTTGAAAATGACTTACACATCTTCTCAAGCTTGTTTTTTTACCTCAGATTTTCCTGAAAACACAGGAAACTGCCTAAAAATGCCAGAATTTGCCACCAAAATGTGCCACCCGAATTCAATACCACCTTTGGAACTTGGCTTACAAACTTGGCCTTTTGCCAGTCCTCAGCCTTCCACTGTTCACATTGTGAAGAAAAATGCTGAAAGGGGCTTTACTGCTTAGGTTGGCCATAAATACCACCAGCTCCAACACTCATTTAAGACCAAATTTATTTTTTTTTCCATAAAATTTGAGAAAAATACCAAACTTCAGGCAGTCCCTGAGGAACTGTCACCTTTCATCCCAATCCTGCTCGTGATCAATTCCCTGCACAGGGGGGCTCTGATCCGTGCCTGTGGCTCTCAGATACAGCCACAATGAAGTGTAAGCGGAGGAAACACCACCAGCAGGTTTCCCCCGGGAGGATTGCATCCAGGCACTTGCCTTGCAGCAATAAATGAGCATCCAAACAATCAGAGGTGCAGATGGTGCTGCTCCCAGAGCAGTTCCTGTGTTCCCCAGTCTCATGAGAGGGAAAGGAGATTTTCCTCTCAGGAACCACTTCTAGGCCCACACACTTCCCCAGGCCCTGGCTCACCCCCGGCCCTCGTTGCTCAGTCTGCCCTGCCCTCAATCAATTCAAAGGAGAAAACACCAGAATAGGAAACAGCACAGCTCCCTCTGTGTGCACTGTTTGCCACAGATTTAATGTGCTTTCCTTCTCTCTAACCAGCCCCAGTTTCAGCAGTGTTGGCTGTACCTGGACACTGCTGTCTGCTCAGGGAGAAGGGCTGATACAGGCCCTTGCTGAGGAGGGGCCCCTCTCAGGGGCAAGCAAAACTCTGTTCCAGAGAAACTGGCTCTAACTGGAGAAGTTAGAGTTTCTTTTAGTTTCATTAAAGCAGTGAGAAAGCAAGGATGAGTACAGGCTTTTCCCCAGGCGGGCAAGATTCCTTTAGAAAGCTATTTCCAAAGGTTTAGGACAGACTGTGATACCTGCCAGGTGATGTAAAGCCCCGAGCATCCTCAGCAGATCTTGTTCCACAAGCAGGTAAATAAGCTTCCTGCAGCTGAAGCAACCCAGCTTTCGGCTCCCATCGAGCAGAATCACCCAGGAAGCAAGATCTATTTTGCTGAAGGGTACAGAAGGTCTGTTCCCACAGGAGAGCCTCCCTTCCCGCTCTGGGAAAACTAAATAGGTTGATTATGTCTGCTACAGGCTCATAAATCCACATCAGCTGCTGCCTCAGGGACAGCCATTACTCCTCTGGGTGATTTTCTCCCCCACTTAGAGAAGATGAACAGCTGGTTACGTATATCACAGCTCCAGCAACACACTTACCCATGGCCTTATGCCACTGAAGGAACAGGTTTCTGTCACTGAGACCACAGGAAAGCAGGAGGCAAAGCAGAGGCAGCTTATTTTCTTTTACACCAGCTTTTTCAGGTGAGAAGACAAAACAGTAGTCAGGGTGGGTGTTGGTAGCTGGCTTCCCAAATGGAGCTCGAAGCAGACCAAAGAACCCAAATTTTAAGCCTGCTTATATAACTTTAATTTGTAAAATTGTGATTCGTACACACAGTAAAATAAACTTAAGTACTAAAAACCAGCGTGAACCTAGATCAGCCAGATTCTGGACTGTGGAGAGAGGGCTGGTGCAGAAGTGGGCCTCACAACACAGTAGTGAGTTACAGCTCCAGGAACTATGCAGCTCTGAATTTTTCTCTAAAAACACATACAGCTCCATTGATACCAGCAGGGACACATCAGCTCATACCCACTGAAAATCAAGCACTAAATGAATTGGGGTAACACTGACATTTAGTGGCTTGGTGCTCCCCGGAATTTTAAGACACGCTGCTCTGCATACATATGGCAAGTTTTCAAGGAACATAAAGTTCCTTTGTACCGGGGCAGAAGCATTATCACACGAGTTGTCAGCAGTCTGTTTTTCCTTTCATAGCTGGACGTGTCAAACAGACTACAGCCAGCAGATAAGAAATGCCTGCAGAATCAAAGAGCAGATTAGAGAGGCAGTGCCAGCAGCTGAGAGAACCATCTACCACAGCTGTGAGACAGATCAAGGGAGCCGAGAAGAGCTAAGTGCAGATTCAAACTTTACATGACATTCAATCTATTACATAAATAAATAGGCCATTACAAGGCTGTGAAAACACTGGTTTTTCTTTCCTGCTTGTTAGCTGTGCACTCTGTGACATCAGTTGTGGCCAGCACTGCTGATTGTGATGCCAAAAGGCACGAACACAAAGCAAAAGGGAATTGGCCCCTTTCCTCAGCTTAGAGGGGAGTTTTCAGGTATCAGTGTTTGTGAGGATATAGGCATCTGTTTTCAGCAAATTGTCACAGCAGTGGTAAAACCTGAAACTGTTAATGTTCTGTGCTGTTCTGGGGTGCTCTGTGACTGAAAGATATCTCTGATGTGTAAATCCCTCCCTGCAATATGCACATTACCCAGAACTAACACAAGTACGGAGTTTGCATACCCAGGAGCAACTTTATGTCATGAGCATCCATGCAGGAAATGCCATAAACAGTGCATGGACAAGGTGCAGTCCTTCCCAGTGCTTTAGAGTTCCCAGTAAGCTCCCATCAGGAATCCTGTCCTAGCACTTTGCCTAAAGGAAGCTATGCAGGATGGAAGGGGTCCCTAGCAGAGACCCAAGAAAGGCCAGGAGATCATGAATTTCCCTAGTTTGGACAAATGGGGGTCTGATCAGGCATCCTTTGTCCATGTTGGTGAGCACCTGAGGCAGCAGCATCTCCCACCAGATGAGGATCAGCATTTATGGGTAGCCTGGGGGCTTCAGGCAAGCAAAAATGCTGTATCTATGGGAAAACCAAAGACAAGCATCTGCTGTCTGGGGTAATACAGGCAGAAAGCAGCACCAGCTAGGGGAGCTTAATTCCCTTTAATAATGTATTGCTAGTTAAGCCACTTAATGTTTGCAAGTGTGGAAAATTAACTTATTAGGCACCAGGTAGTTCAATTTAATTGTCCTGAATTTCCAGGTGGGAACTCCAACCAGCATTTAAAAACAAATTCCTCTCTATTTTAGCTGGGTCCATGCAGCTGGATGCCAGCCAAATTCTGGCAGGTGCTTATCACATCTATAACAATGAGAAGATCACCTAACAACGCTCTGTAACCCCAGCTAACACTGAAGAAACTTGTGACAGCCATTGAGATTTCTTAGCTGCTCCCCAGAAGGCAGGGCACAGAACCTTGCTATTTTATCTTGGCTTTGTTCTGTTTAGGGACAAGAGCACCCTGAATACAAATGGAAGAAATCAGACTATGCAATTTTTTTACTTTAGTGTCAAAAAGAATGTTTAACCACAAAAAAAAAAATAAAAATTAAACCATCTTCCTCTTTTTCCACATCATTGTCCTTTGATCTACAACAATCCCACGCTCTGAAATTCTGAAATTCACCATTTCAAAAACACATCTTTTTTCTTGGTATGAGAATATGAATTCAAAATGAAAACATCACATGAATGCAACTGTGCCCCTGATGTCAAAACAGGAACAGAATCCAAGAATAAACACACAAGACGTACATGTCATTTGTCCTTTCCTGGAAAAGAGTGGTATGATGCTCTGAAGTCCACAGTGTTCCTTTCAGCACAGCATCTTTTTGTATGGCTTGAACCACTCTCAAAGGCTATATTTACCCACTCTCAATAAACCAAATCAAATGGTTTGAAATGAAATTGCCAAACTTAACAAAAAACCCATTGTGGCAGCTTCAAACCTCCACCCTGTTTCCTGCTCCATCTCCATGTGGCCACAGATGCGTTTATGCTGTGATGATGAAATTCCTACAATGCACAGACAGTACAAGAGCTAAGACAAACATCCAGGGTGCTATTGAATTTCAATTGAAAATCTTACAGCACTTAAAGTATCCAGTTATTTTTACCTGGGGTTCTGGTGATTAACAAGCTGTGAATGTCAGATCCATCTAACTCACCCTGAAAGCACAGGAGAGGGAACCAAGGAGCAGGTCCTTAGCACCACTTACTGAAGCAATACAAAAGGAAGAATTATTATTATTGCTAGCTCCACTATTGCACTTCAATTCAGCTGAAAATCTCTCCTCCCAAAACACAAAGGTAACTCGGGTGCCTCAGGAGATGAAACAACCAGCATTTTCTCCAGCTTAGCTTATATCCTACCTCACAAGATGCAACTATGAGAAATCAACTTGCTCTGTATGCCTTACATACACAGGTGCTTTTAATTCACAGCTCTGTCTTCTCTTCCCCTCCCCACGAAAGTGTCAGTGTTATGAATATCAATTAAGAGATGACTGTGGTACTAAAGGCTTAACATGCCTCACTACCTAATATCTGCATGCCTGCGTGGCTAAGCATCAGGCCAAAGCAGGAGACGGTGCCTGCTTCAGGAAAAAGTGTGTAGCTGGGAATTACCTTCCAGTGGAAAATATTTAACCAGATGGGAATGCTATTTATCTGTGGTGCTTCCCATTAGCAGTGACTAACATTTATGCTATGAAATATCTCCTTATTACAGCACTAGAGTTATGACGTGCTTTTAATATTTAGCACTGGTTGGCTTTTTTTCCTTCCCCAGCCCATACTTTCAAGTCATCTATGCAAGAATCACTGAACTATTATGGTCTGGTGACCTGCTTAGCACGAAGCAAGGCAGCAGCCAGAAGATAAGGAAGGGAAGAGAGGTAGTGGCAGGGACTGGAGTTCGTCACTGAGTTATGATTCATCACTAATTTATGTGGGATGCTGCGTAGCACAGGCAAAATCCAAGGACACACAGACGCATTTTCTTTTCTGCATATAGGTGGGGCTCAGTTCACAGGATTTCCCCTTCCTCTGACATTATAGGTCTTCAAGGTTGCTTATCCAAGAGGGAACATGAGTTGGAAACGCTCTGGGAAAACTCCCAGTTCACCCCAGCTGAGGGCAGGTCAGCGCAATCTCCTCAGGACAGCTCAGGCTGCAAATGCCTCAGGACAGGAATTTTTTGGACCTGCGAAATTTTGCATGAGTCAGTGTGTGCTCATGTAAAGGCTGTATTTTCCTTCTACAAGATCTTGTGCTTAAAGTTACGGTATGTCCAGTGCATGTATATTTTAAAAGGATATTTACTGATTGTCCAGCCGAAGTGGTGCAGCCATTTTGCAGGTGGGCAGAGCCCAGCTCCTACACCTGGGACAGCCTGGGGGTTACCAAAGCCTGAGAAGAAGGCTGTTCCCTTGGTAGGGCACACAAAGAAAGCAGAATTTACAGGCCACAAGGACATTTGGCAGAACCACCAAGGTAAGGATGAAACTAATAAAGCCACCACAGCAACTGTGCTGAATCAGCTCCAGCTGTGTAAAAAGTAGCTCTGCTTGGGACAGATCACAATCTCCAACTCATGGCAACCCACCCAAAAAATGCCTCAACCCAAAAGAAGAGAGTGACTGAGCAAATTAACTAATTAGCATGGGAAGAAAGAGATTCATTAACCAGTGGAAGATACAATACTAATTAATAAGACAACTAGGTAACTTCTAGCCAATGTACATTGATACCTTTGTTTGCTGAAGTATATAAACAGTGAAAAGTTTTGGTAATCTTTGTGGTGGGCTTTGGGGATTTGCCTCCCTGCTCTCCTTTCTGTGCAGAACTGTAAATTAATATCAAATATCTCAAATCTCTGTGTAGGTTTCTCACCAGGTGAAAGAACCTAATTTGGGACAAGATCTCCGCAGCAGCAGGCTGCTTGCTCCCATTGCCCTCTCCAGCAACAGCTGCCCTACAGGCTGGCACAGCCCCAGAGAGGGGCCAGGGCACATCACCTGGCTGCCTTCCACTCAGGATCTCTTCCTCAGCCCTCCCTGTGTCCCTCAGGCTGCAGGCTGGCAGGGCAGGAGCCCCTCTTACCATGGCAGGCACTAAAAGGGCAAAACCCAGCTCTCTGAGAGCAGGATTGCACCGGAGGAACCCCGGGAATGGACTCCCTGACCGTGTATTCTTCTGCGTAAGCTTGGGTCATCCAAACCCCACTGAGCTCAGAGGAAAATAAATATGGAAAGGAAATTCCCCCATGCCCATTTCTTTCTCCTTGGCCTGTCCATCAAGTTTGTCCCTGTTTTAACAAGATCATATGATAGGACTGGACAAAACTTGCATGAGTATCCATGATCATCTCGTGCTTCCCTTCTTTTTAAAATAGGAGCCATGATACATGTTTTGCCTCCAGGAAGGCTTTTCTTGCAGACATAATCATTAAAAAAGGATACATGACCTAGACTACAGAAGAAACTGCTTTCAGAAAGAATTATCAGTGGTTCACTGTCAAATTGAAAGGATATTTTCCATGATGATCTGTCTTGGGTGACTTGAACACTT